CTACGGTGTCCACGGGGTTGAAAATATGGCGAGTGTGCGGGTCGACGTGGAAGGGGGCGTGGCACAGCGCAAATCTGGATCCTGATTGGACAGAAATTTGAGTGATGGCACGAAAAGTTCCGTCTCCAAGCAATTGAACTGGCCTGCAGAGGGAAAGTACGGGACCATAATAGGTATGATGCAGATATTCGTGATGTATTTATGCGTTAAAAACTTTGAAAATACTCATTTTAACCACCTAAGGAAAAAAAAAATTGGTAAATAAAAGTAAATATAACAGGGAAATTGTATTCAAAGCACTGAAAATTCACTGAAGATGAATGGTTCAGGTGAGGCTACTACTACGATGTTACTGAACTCACTACTTTTCAATAAATGTTATTATGTTATTTAAGAAAGAAAAAAAAAGAAAGAAAGAAAGAAAGAAAGAAAGAAAGAAAGAAAGAAAGAAAACAGAGAGCTGCTCCCAGGTACTGTGCCTCTGTTAAATCTTTGAGCTTCAATTACAACCACAATCTGTCTCACAGCACACTCTTTTCTTGTCTAAGCCAGAAGATTATTTTTTTTCCTAATTTTTATTATCTTTTATTTTTTGTATATTTTTTATGTTCTGACTGCAGGAAAATTGGGTTCCTCCTTAAGATTGCAAGCTGTTAAATTTCCAATATTTCACCATCACCTGTGCATGAGATTATATTTCTACTTTTTCTTACATCTTGTTTGCCCAGACGTCCAAATTACATAACAACAGAATGACAGGGCTTCCTGTGTCTCTCAATTTCGTAGGCAAATGTTTGGATCCTTCCTGTTAAAAGAGAGGAAGTGAAGAATATACTCTCATTGGGCTGCCTTACATTTAAAGACATGCTGTTAGCATTCGGCTGCTTTAAACCGAACAAACAACTGATATGTAATTGTTGAGGAAGTAAAGCATATCTAAATCCCATGTTATCTGCTGCTTGGTTTGCTTTATTCAGAGGAACCTGAGATCATTCACAAGCTGTCAAACTTCAGACATGAAGAAGCTGTTTTGGCTTTCTCTTCTGTTCATCCATCTGCCTGAGACAGGTAAGCCTTCTTTGTCCGTCTTTCTAAATTTCCTATAAAGATTCCCTTTCTATAAATGTTTCCATGGATGAATCACTGTCAGTGATTGAATTGAGAGACACTGCTTTTAGAGATGAAATCTTACTATCTTTATTTGTCTTTGTCTGTTACTCCCAGAGAGCAAAGATGAAACTCAGACCTGCTTATCACAGCCCAAAAAGTGGGTTTGGTATAAAACAGGACAGTCAGCTCTTCTCTCTTGTAGCATTAGTCCACGCTGTCAAGCTAAGGACCTGCTTTACCAGTGGTTTGTTTTCAAAGAAAGCAGCCATTTTCCTCTCAAAATTACGGGCAAATACAGCCTGCGTGGAGCATCTTTATACATCAAGTCACTTAACGCCGGTGACAGCGGGATCTACTACTGTGCCGTTGAAGCCCAATCAGACACAAAGTGCTGTGAGCAGAACGTGGCGACGGGGACAACTCTGGTAGTTAGAGGTAAGGAAGGAAATGAGGAAACTGTGTTTGAATGGCTTGGTTAAGACTAACACTTTTTATTTTGTTTTACAACAAGGTAAAGTAATGTTAAGGCCAATTCTTCTGTGGTCATCGTTTACCCTTCTGGCCATCTACAGTTTGGCTATAATGATGCTTATCATTTTAAAGAAGGTACATTTTTATACCTATATTTACACTGAATGTAATGTTTTGTTAATAACTTCAGAGCTCATACAAATAAGCCTGGAAGATGCGAGATAAACATATTTCTGTCTGTTCTAGTATGGCTTCAACACGAGTGCCATCAGAAAGATGTCTAAATCTGACAAGGTAGTGGAAGCGTCTCATTTCTTCATTTGTTTTTTTATATGTTTAGTGTATTTCTAAATGAGGAAAAGACCATAGAAACTAAAAGAGGAACAGGAACCACGTCTCTCTAAAACTTTGGCTGGAAAATATAATCGCAACCTCAATGTATTCAACTTTTTGGGCTTCATTTGAAAGGAGACCTCTGATTATCTTTTTGAAAGAACATGCCTTTCTTTCCCCTTAAACAGTTTGGTTTCAGCCAAAAGATGCAGTTTCGTGACGTGCTGCAAGAAATGAACAGCAGGAGGAACTTGAGCAAAAGCAAGCCAAAAAGAAGAAGTCATTCTCAAGTTGTTGAGGTAAATCTTGTTGCAGCACATCGGTGTCAGCTTTACTCAACAGAAAGATTGCGTGAAACAGTTTCGTGTAATCTCCTAACCATCGTCTTTTAAGTAAAATTCAATGTCATTACAGGCAGCAAGTGGGGAGTGCAACATTTCCAATGATGACATCTATCAAAACATCTAAGAGTCATTTAAGAATGATAAATAATTAACTATCCATCGCCCTGAATGAGAGGACATCGGAAAGCTATGGAACCTGAATGAGGATGCTTTTCTGTGACAGAAGACATGGTGAAATGCTTCAATGATGGATACCAGTCATGTGTTTACTTAACTTTTGTCACAAGACACATACACACAACAATGATGCTGAGTCGGTGCTCAATTATCTCCAAACTTTCAGGGTTTGCAGAGTTAAATAAGTTTGTGTCTCCTTGAGGTTTTTTCCAGTCTTTAAAACTTTTCAACTCATATTAATCCGTGAGATTTGATTGTAAGAATTTCTGGATGACAGTATAACATGAGAAACACGAAGATACAAAGAGCAAGTGTGAGTTCTGCTGAAAAGAGACACTTTACAGATAGGAACGATAGGAACTAAAGATGCCAGTCTGCCTTTTTCACTTAAAACATTTTGCACCAGTGAAACAACATATTCTTTAAATAAACAATAAAGAATCACATAGAAAGCAGAATTTTAATTTAAAAAACAACCTGATTTTTACAAATCCTGTCATCTCAAATTAGGCACAAAAGGGTGAATATCTGCATGGCATCGTCGTAAAATACAGAAACAAAAGAGATGGTGTGAAAACACTGTAAAGGCGACCAAACACTCATCAATTCTGGAGGATGGTGTCATCCTTTTGTTCTGTTACAGTGTATTTTTTGTGTAAATGGCCCCATTACTAATGATTCATTACATTAAAATGAGCAAAAACACAAAGAATAGACTTAATTGGATAATGCTAACTTTTTTCCCCCTTTCCACGCCTCTCACTATAAAGCACCAATACTAATGTTGTGCTCTATGCCCTGTTTAGCTGAACATTTCATGGTCTTATGTCTCTGAAACATTGTGTGTAATTTCAGATGAACAACAGTGAAGTCCAATCAGCCAACGTAAAAATAAAGAAAACATTTCCCCATTTGTTTTAACACATTTCATTAATAGAAACCAGTTCAATACTTCTGAATACCATAGCCTGCGTTATAATCCTGAATTCAAAAAGTCACCTCTAATCAGAAAAAAAGATGAATTTCTTTGGGTGTAAAAATACAAACTTTACAGTAAATAATATTTGGTTGAAGGAGTGTAAGGCTGAAAACTTCTCTAAAAACATCATTCATCATCTCAGAAGCAGCATAATAATTCACATGTAGCTTGAGTGCTAAAAACAGTTTTCTGGCACCGTGGTCCCTTTTTAAGAGCGCTCTGCAATCCTGAGTGCTGTCTGAAGAGGTCAGAAAAGTGGACAGAAAGACTAATTTCTATCCATAAAAGTCTGAGGTCCAAGAATAAAAGTTTTAAGTCACTTTCATTGTGACATAACCCTGATTCTTCCTTCCCTTGATGGAGATTTCAGTTACAAAAGCTACATGTTTAGCTATCTTTGAAGCTTTTCACAGAGTGCTTTATGGTTCTGTACTCTATCCTTCATACACTCCTCAGCTTATCAAAAGAACAGATTTCCTTGATTTTTATCTCTTTGATGTCACCAATCAGCTGTTACATCAAAATGATTTAAATCTCTCCCCCTTAAATTTTCGATATACTTATTCATTGATTGCACATTACAGCACATTTCTGGCCTCCTGAGAATATAGACGTTAGCCATCAATGTACTTTGTGTCGACTGTGTGACTGTTGCGGATGGAAAACGGCCTCCATGCCAGGACTTGCAGAGCAGCAACACCCATCGGGACCAGAGACACCAAGTAGAACATGATACTGTGCAGGCTTTCCAAAGTACTACAAAATAAAGAGAGACGCAGTGCTTGAATCTTTAATCCAATTTATAACCGCATCGTGAAATTTAAAAGTAAGTACGCTCATGATCATTCTGTTGCTTAATTTTCTTAAGATTAGAACTACAATGTGCGTAACAAAAACATCATATAAAACAAATATTAACTATCAAATCAAAGTGTCCTCTCCAATAAACAGCATCATCTCTTGATCGTTAGCAAACATTTCCTCCCTTCAGACATGATTCAGTGTTACACCAGACAGTCTTCCTGGGATAATTAATTGTTATCCCATTGTTGGCCTTGAAGGTGAATTTTTCTGAACTGATTTGGGAAATTGTTAGATACATACTTAAAATACTGACTGAAAGCATTACTTGCATCAAAAAGAATGAAAATTTAGGAAAATCAACAGTAAGGAGACACACAGTGTGATGGAATTAGCAGGACATAATAATAAGTACATAACTAGGTAGAAAGGACAATGTTTACCTTGGGTTTATTTTCTGCCCTTCCTCCTTCAGCTGTTCATATCCAAACTGGTTCAGGATATTAAGGACTATCATTGGTGCCAGGGACTGAGCTGGCTTTGTGAAAAGAGCGTTTGTTCCAAACACCATGGAGGAGAGAGGGGAACTGAAGAAGATATCACAACGGCGGTCAAATAACATAATAATATGCAATGTTACTAATGACTAAAACGACACTCTGTACTGCTGACAGAAGTGCAACATCTCTTATCATGCTACTAACAAAAATAATGCACTGACCCACAGACTGCATAAACAGGAAACTAGCATCACAATTAATCATAGAAAGATACTAGATGTTTAAGTGAGACCTTCTACAATTTCATGAAAATCATTAGCTGAAATTTGATGGCAGGAGGTCTAAAAAGTGTCTGGATGGAGCCAACCTTAGTCCATCTTATATAATATGTGTCCCAAATTCTATGTGTGAATGACAAAGGACAATGTATTACTTTCAACTTTCTGAATGATTTCTATATCTGATCCATAAGACTTGGAAATCACTCCAAAAAATATTCAAATTTAAACTGGGATGCTTTTAATAATTTAAGATATGTATCTTAATTTTTCGTTTTTTTGTGGTAACAACAATAAGGCTCGATACATCAGTGTTCGCTAGATGCAAATATCTAAATTATTGGAAGATCAATTGCCATCTAATTTCTTAGATGTATAATTGTAACAAGTATTATGCAAAGTAGTTCTGCTTAGTTTTGCTTTACCTGCGCTTGTACTTTTGCAGATCTGTGTCAATTATGTCAGCAAGAGGCAGGCCAAAGAGACTGAAAGCTGCTTGTATTATAATCCTGAATAAGAGACAGAGCAGAGAGGTCAGGTGTGATACTGTACACCGATAATACAGATAATGAACAGGACAGTGGAAAACAATGAAAAAAAAAGCCTTACATGTTAACAGTGAGAAAAAAGGCCAGGATATAGTAGTGCTGAGGACCAAGTATGAACATAATGGCTGCCATTCCCACCTCCAGGTAGAATGTGTAAAGGATGAGCCTATAGTAGCCATGACCATGTAGAAGACTCTGACTGCTCAGTACTAACAGCTGTTGGATGGAGACAGTAAAGTATTTCACCACTCAAGTAGACAAAATAGAGTTTTGTCAACAATAATGTGAATTCCATTATTTGACGGAACTAGTACTATGTCCGTTTGTCTACGCCACGTCTTTCCTTGCTAGTATAAAAAAAGACAGAGGCTACAATGGGATAGTACCTGTGGACAGATGAATCCCGCCCCATACATGATGCTTTTAGCCAGTGATGGAAGCACGTCTGGAGGAATCAGGTGCTCTGTGAATATCATGGTAAAATTGTTAAAGAACGCCAACATGAACACCTGGAAGAAGTTCATGAGGACAAACAGCTGGAAGTCTCTGTTGGTCAGGATCTGCCATGTCAACGTCCTCAGCATGGAGAAGGAACATGCTGTTTCATAGGGAGCCCTTTCTACAGACCCCAGAGGATGTGACTCAGACGCTTTGTCATCGAAGCGGCTCTCGCTGTGGAAGCCTGTATAGAGCATGCAGCCACAGCTCATAACAGCAGTCACCACTGTGAATGCCTGAAAGGCTGTAAAGTCCTCCATGTTGTTGGACAGCACTCCACAGAAGAGGACACTTGAGGAACCAACTAGAGAAGCCACCTAAGAATTTGACAAGAGAGAATATGAGAAGGACTGCCCCGTCCGCCCCGGGAGAAGGCGGCAGCCTTACCTGGTTGTACTTTATAAGTCTTAATCGGTTCTGGTGGTGGCTGGAAATTTCTGCAAACAAGGCACACTGTGCCAGCAGCACAAAAGTCAGCATGCCATCAAAAGCGCACAGCGCTACCGTCAAATGTAAGCCACTCAGCCAGTCGCCAGGGGCATAGGATCGCCATGGGAACCAGGCAAGAAGGAAAGCGAGTGAGTAGAGGGGAGCACCATAAAGGATGGACAGGCGCCGCTGGGAGCAGCACGGCACCCTGGAGTTGTCTTGCAGGTATCCAAAGAGAGGGTCATTAACCGCATTCCAAACCATGTACACCACCTGTGAGCAGGGGCGGATTTCTCTAAAACATTTGTCAAAATAATGCTGCAATGAATGACTAATGAACAGAGATTTAACCATTTGATCTCCTGGTAATCAATAACAGTAAACAGAATCCATATCACTGAAAATGCAAGTAATGTGCAAACTGGTTTGCTGAGGTACTCACTTGTGATTGGTGGAATGCCCCCTCAGATATTTTGTACTTATTCAGAAAGAGTTTGACATAATAAAAGCTGAAAATGTTGTTTATCATGCCTGACCCAAGAGTTGTCATTGCGTAAGCAGCTGCTGCAGGATTGACCCCAAACATCATCAGGTGGCGGTTGATGTTCATTTTTCCGGACATTGTGGCAGGTTTCTCCTCAAAAACCATGACAGTTCATGCGAAGTGCAATATACAAGTTAGTGAGATGATGCTCGACCTTTCAAACGAAAGGCGCGTTAAAGCAGATAAGATGTTGCATACAGACAGACTTGTGGTAATCACATGCCAACTAGATACTAAATCATAACTACATTTCCCTCAAACCGCGCTGAAATCCTGTCAAACCCGATTCCTGTGTTTCTGTGTCGGGGCGGTTCTGTGACACTGCAAACGATCGATCATTCGATTGGCTACAAAAATTATTTACGTACACTGACTTCTTTGCAATGGGTCAATATTCCTGTCAGTCAAAGGAAACAGGAAGTAGAGACGGTGACTTTGTATCTAAATATTTACATTATTCTAGGCTTTACTTGGTGTTGAGGACAAAGGACTTCAACAAATACATGTTTCACAAGTAAAATATTTAACAAGTTCAACTGTTGTCAAATAGATTAACTCTTAACACGTCTGCCTCCTACCGGACGTAGGGGTGTGTTAAGGCTTGGCCACGTTGCTGCAGACAACAGACGCCCTCACGCAGCTGGAGGGGAAGTTCGTCTGCAAGAAACACTCCGACTAACAGTAGTAACACTCGTCTATATAAGTCTGTGAGGTGGGAAAAAAAAGACTGAATCTACAGGATTTTGTCGACTGGAAAATGAAATACTCAGTTATTTTATCATGTGTAATAAAGTTGTAATATTACCAGAATAAAGTTCTAATATTTGAAAAAAAGTCGTAATACCATTGATATTTAGACTTCATTTTTTCTCTGTGTGTGGGTAGTCCCAAATCTTTGTTTACTTTACATCTTTTGTTCATATACATCAAATCTAATTGTACCAACATTTAACCTTTGCATCATCAAAAAACCCCTATATTGTCCCACAGTCTTTGAGGACACACTTTAAAACAACGTTCTTCTTGATCAATCCACAACAGTATTAATCAATACAATGCCATTTTTATATGACACCAGTCTTTGAGGTCACACCTTATTGTTATTATTATCATTACTATTTTTATAACTGTAAAAAGATAACCATCACTTGTCATTGGGGCATATAAAGATGAAACAATGTTCTTAATCAATACAATTACTTTAAGCTGCTTTAAAAAAGCTTTAAAAACAGCACACCTCATTATTATTATTATTATTATTGCAAATAGTATTGTTTCAATTAATGTTGTTATTATAACGTATTCTATTTTATTAGTATTGCTGTTGTAACAATGAACAGATAAGCATTACCAATGATTTGCAGATAGTCCAATAGCACATTAATCAAGTGTGATTGTTTAATTATAATTGTATAATTATCATTATAACAAACAGCTGTCAGGGTTCCTGATCCGAAACGGTGCCGACGTCCAATCAGCGATGTCCTGTTTCCACTGGGACCCGCCCCTTCCGGTGGGTCAAAGCGTTTTTTCATTTGCAGTTGGGCTGAGTGATTTGATGACGTGGATGGGCTTGTTGCCCCAGTGTGTTTTTTAAATGTAGTTGTGCTTAGTTTTTCTGTTCAGGTGTCCCGCACTCCAGGGCCGTCGCCCACTGCCTCAAAATGTTGACGGACATCATTTTGGAGGAAGAGTTTGAGAAGAATGGAGAGTCTTGGTACAACCCTCAGGACCTCGAACACGGTGAGAACTGCTCAGCTGTGTGGACGCACCTTAAATCGTGCGTGTGTGCGGGCTGGGACCGGTAGTTTGAACACGAGTGATGCTTAAAAAAAAAAAGGTTAAACAAGGTAGAAGAAGTAACCACAGTCATGACGTGACAAAACCCATAGCAAATATTCCCACAGGTGACCTGAAACAAATGTGGTTGACTCACACCGATCATGCGGTGAATGCTGGAGGGAGCCGAGCCGACTCTGTGGTCAGGATTTCCTGTGGCTGTCCCTGGTCCCGTGTCTGGTGCATTCTAAGAAATGGGTCGTTCATCTTGTTTGTGCTGTTTAGATTTCCGAGCTGTATACGAAAGCCAGAGTTAAAAGGAAAAGTTTAAGAAAAGTAAAACAACAAAGATATAGAAAAATAGAAGTCATTGTGATGTGGAAGGACATGAAACCATTTGGAAAACTCCTACTAAAACGATTCAGCACGGCACAATTATGCATGTTTATAATGAGTTTAAAAGCACATTGAGAATAGAATGAAAGAAAGATGTGTTAGAATAAATGTGCCTGCAGCCTTTCAATACAGAACTAATCTGAAGGATCTGGAACTAACATTAGAAAAATAATAATTTCTTGGTCTCAAAGTAATTATTATCTGATTGTTTTCAGTCTATTTTAAAGGCAAAAACTAAACATTTTCTGCATGACTTTTCAAGGTTGTTTATAGCTGAACTGAATAAATTTCACTGGATCAAACCTAACAAATAGAATAGATTTTTTTTAAAGTTAATAATCTTATTTGTGTGAATAGGTGTTTAGATCTGTTAAATGCTCGATTACACCATTTTTCTAGTAATCCGGAAACTCTTCAGGGAGTTTGTAAAAATGATGCAGCTGTAGTTCAACTTATTTGTACAGAACTACTCCAAAAGGACTTCAGTTTGATGTGGCCTGCTTGACTTTAAGATCTAATCTCACTCTTTGTTCGATGGCATTCTTACTCGCTTTATTCTGTAGACCAACGTTGCTAGGAGAATTTAGCAAAAACCGAACAGGTCACAAGGCATGCCTTAAATTCCTCTGTGACCCACCAGAGCTACACATTAATAGTGTTCCACACTGAACTGGGCTTGTGTGTGCGCTTTACTCATGAGATTGTTGTCATGGTTTGTAGCAGACTCATATTTCATGTCTACATGTTTTGCTCGGCTTTGTCTAGATCTCCATCTGGCCGCGGAGCTGGGGAAAACCCTCCTCAACAGGAACCATGACTTGGAGCAGGCTCTGCAGCAGATGTACTCCACCAACCAGGAGCAGCTGCAGGAGATAGAGGTAATCGTGTTAGCAGGAAAACAAACCCAGCTCTCAGGCTCCAGCAAAACTTTCTCTCAAGTGAATGAGTCCAGGATTAGAGGAGAGTCAATGAGAAAAATCCACATCCACGAAGAGCTGAAAATAGGAAGGAGTAAAAACTAATCCTGACCAGTCTGAGCTCATGAGTCTCTGGCACGGAAAAGCTTCTTGGCAGGATTTGAATCTTTTAGTCTGATTTCAGAGAAAAATGTCCCCCAGATTATTTGGCACCTGTTTGTATGGACCACCCTTTCTGTGATTTAAGGTTTTGTTTGTATTTGCTCAACCAGAACCAGATTGATCGACAAAATGATACATTCCTAAAATCATCTTCTTATGATTGATTTATTTTTCAATTAGTGCTTTAAAATAAAGACAGTTAAGCCTTTTTATTTGCCCCCTAAAACATTTTTGGCGTATGCAGACGATTCTGATCCGTTTGGGCTGGAGGACACGTCGCTCAGCAGGTCAACAAAGATAAGAGCCTTAGTTTGTTTGCGACAGTGAGAGGACTGGCTAGAGGATTTATTTAGGTTGATATGTTAATCCAAATACATGTCTGTGACAGTCATCCTGATGCAGTGTGTGTTGGACATATTCAAATCAAAACTGAGCCCACAGGTGAAGGTGCTGTTTGACTGAAATAGCTCCTGGAGAAATGTTCATGTCTACCAGAGTAAGCTCGTAACATTTCACCCAGTTTTATGCTGGGTCTGAGCCAAAGCTGATAAGCTTCAATTAAACGCAGCTTTGATTTCATCCTAACAGGAAACAGCAGACATCCCCGTACCCTTTTTCCCAATTTTCAGAATGCACTAGGCAGGACATGGCTTTCATTCAACGTGCAAACGCAGGTTACAGACTCATGCTGTCACCTTTTTTTAAAACGGGAATGTCTGTGGTTCCCCCCAGGTTCTCTGTTTGATCCTCTATTTGATTCTGATGTGATGAAGTTGGTCTGGTTTATAAAACCAAATGGAACATTTTCCTCACCATCTTTTCATGATACCTGTTTGGCCTACCTGGAGTGTGGTGCTTATTTACCTTTTTTAAGTCCTGATGACTTAAATCTCTGAATCATTGGAGTTTTACATCATTAGAGGTCCTCTCTTTTAAGGGTACAGCCACCAACTGTTTTTCTACTTAATGTAATGCTTTTTAATTGATGGTTTATTCTATCAAAATGACTAAAAACTCTTGTTTTTTCTCTCGTGCATCAGTACCTGAGCAAACAGGTGGACCTGCTGCGTCAGATGAACGACCAGCATGCCAAAGTGTACGAGCAGCTGGACATAGCCGCCAGAGATCTGGAACAAAGCAACCAGCAACTAGTGCGAGACAACCGCCAGGCCCAAAACAAGATCCAAAGGTTAGCATGCCCACGATCTGTATGTCACATAATGAATTGTCCCGTCAGTTGGTCAAAAAGCTCACATCTTCAAAGATAATCTTCTAAGCAGAGTGTCCCTTTAGTCTAACAGAAACTATTGAGGCTCTCCAGACCCACATGGAGGACCTGCAGACCCAGGTGGAGGAGCTAAAGGCCATCCAGGCAGAGCAGAACAAGAGGGATCTGGCAGAGCATCGCCGCAGCCTGGGCGCGCAGAGTGTGTCCTGCCTCAAAGAGCTGTATAAATTACAACAAGACGGGTACGACACTCACACCCTGCAGTGCTCTGCCACCATAGTGCGGAATTTAAGGATGTGAGACATGAAATATTCACAGTGAAAACATCTTTTTGTGGGCTGGAGACTGTAGTGGCCTGGGAAATGAACATTCAGCTTTTGATTTTGACAGCTTATTAATTTTTCTTAAGCCTGATTTTAGTGGTTGAGTGTTGCTTTGCTGCTGTGTATGTGATGAGAACAGAACAGCATATATGCCCATCGCATGTCTAACTGCCCATCGCATGTCTAGCTTCACTGACATGGAGAACAGCTCCACTTTACCTGTTCTCTGATCTCCTCTTAGCCATCAGCACTCTCCTGTCTCAGCCCCTGAATGCTGAATTGACAACTGCAGATCACATAGAGCTACAGCAGAGTGCTTTCTTTAGAAATAATCCACAGGAGAAAGAAGTTAATCCTTCTTCTATTGTCAGCAGTGTATTAACCCTCAACTGTTTAAGCTTCCAGCATGACGCGTCTCCTATTTGGTGAAACTGCAACCCGAACATTGTACAGTATGTCTAGATGTGTTTGGTACCGAAAGCGTCAAATAAAAACATTGATTCTCAGCATTTTGTATTCATCTGAGTATATTGCAAAAATGCTCAAATTCCAAAAATCTTCTGCCAAGAATGCAGATGAAGTATTTCCCATGGCTGGGAAGACATGTGTTGTTAAACTGGACATAACATTTATGTTATTACTATTTTACAGTTTAGGATCTAACACAATAAGTCAAGTAACATCACTGTGTACGGTTCAGGTTTTCAGCCAACAGCAATGGATTCTGGTCACCTCAGAGCTCGTTCTGTGACAGAGATCGACACCAGAACCCAGAGGAGGAGAATCAAGCTCTTCAGCGCTCCATCCAAACCCTTCAGAGGCAGATCGCCGCAGAGCGAAGCCGCAGGGAGGCTGCAGAGCAGGAGATCGAGTTGACTTCCAAAGAGAACAGCAGCCTGGAGCAGCGGCTGGCCCTGCTGGTGGGCTGCCGGGCCCGGCAGAAGGAGCTGGAGGAGGAGGTGGAGCAGCTGCGGCTTCTTTGGCGCGCCGACTACGCCAAGAGGTTAGAGAAGGAATCCACACTTCATTTTATTTTTGCCTGGATTTTTCTTTACTGATGCCTGGTGATGCAATATTTACCATAAAAATGTTACCAAAATCTACTCGTCTCCCTTCCCCTCCGCATTCACCTGCATTAGAAGACCTGACCAGCTTCTGCTGCCAGAAACCGTCTTCTTTGCTTCAGAGGAGAGGCCAAGTGTGGAGCAGAGCGAGACGGAGGACAAAGGGGGGAAGGCGGAGGAGCCGAGCAGACCCAACAAGCAGAGGCGCCACAGCGACAGCATTTTGAGAGCAGCGACCGCAGACGACATCCGCCGGGGTCATGAGCAGCTGTGCATCAGGCGGGCGGAGGCCGTCAAACAGAGGGGCATCTCTCTACTCCATGAGGTGGACGCACAGTACAGCGCCCTGCAGGTGGGCTACTCACAGCGTGTCTGGTCACCTTCTACGCAGAGTTTTCAGGAGTTGGCTGCCCTACAAGTCGCAGAAAAGACGCTTCACTGATAATTTTAATGTCCCCCAGGTGAAATATGACGAGCTGCTGCGGCGCTGCCAGCAGGCCACAGACGAGCTCAGCCACAAAGCCGTCCAGACGTCCGGCGGCCCCTCCGCAAGCATGCGGGCACGTCGCCGCCTGTCCAGCTCCGCCGCATTATCAGATCTGATGTTTGCTCTTGAGGATGGCCAGCAGCCCGAGTACAAGGCTCTCTTCAAGGAGATCTTCACCTGCATCCAGAAGACCAAAGAGGACCTGAGCGAGAGCAGGCGCTCGGGCAGGGAGGGAGATGTCCAGGAGTCTGCCAACTGAATGCTGGACGTCATTTCAGGACTTTTTGTCGTCATTTTCTGTGAAAGGCTGAGACAGGAGAAGCACTGGGGTTTCTTAGCTCTAAAAAGTACCCAAAGGGTGCAGTTGCTACATGGTCATTACATTTAAGATGCGCAGCCTATACTTCTGTTAGTTTGCACTTTTTTGTCCGTCCCTATCATTTTTTTTTATAAATGTTATTAGAGGTTAAAGCTGTCTGATCTTTGATATAATAAGTAATTACATACAACTAAAGAAGATAAAATAAGTAAACAATATACAATTATAAACAGTTAATACATAATTAACTTTGAGGTCATTAAAATGCTATTTAGTATGTTGCTTGAGTTATATATCCAGAGGTATTATGTCCAATGTGTTCATATTAGTGTCCACTTGGCTGATTGGTGATGGGAGGAGAAAGGCACATGGAGGAGAAACACTTTTGGTGTGTTACACATGAATGAAACAGAAACGTTGGAATGTTGTAATAGGATAAAAAAAAAAAACGGTAAAAATGTTATCAAGAATTTATAATAACTAGCTTAGCAGCTAGTGTGCGTGGGTCATTGGAAGTTGGAAATTGTTTGATGGGAGTGAGGGTCGCAGGCACATCACCAGAGAAAATGGACACTGGAAACAGCTGCTTTTTGTTTCCATGAGTCTCTGTACCTTAAACAGAGGACCACAAATCTATTTTTATTTATTTATCAACACAAGATTACTGTTTATTTATTTTCATCAGTGTGTTTTTTTTTTCTACAAATTGATCAGTAACCAGAGAGAAAGCCTAAAAACTAGATTCTCCTTTTTTAAAAACTAAAAGTTGTGCTAATTGAGAATTCATAATGTTTAAAGCAGCAGTGTAAATACTGTAGAAGCTCTGTCAAAAGGTTATTTGAAAAAATTAAAAAAACTGTTTACTTCCCTTGTTACATGGTGCTCATAGGAGAGAAGATACAAAATGACCAAATTGTCGCTGTAAAATACAGTTTAGATGTATTAGATGTCCTCCATGAAGACGCTTGTTTTTCTTGCTACTAATTAATAAAATGATTGCTTTCTCATTTCCCATTTCTTTTCTTAATGTCTTTAGGTTATGCAAGCAATTATTGGCCTTTCTTTGTTTTTGTGTGTTTTACATAACTGAGATTTTCCAGCCTGTTCCAAATGCCAAATCCTCTGAACTTCCAAACAAAGGGCTTGCATTCCATGCTAACTTAGACAGGTCTCAGCAAAACCTGAGCATGATACGATAGGCATCAGGCACACAATCATAAGATGTATCAAGTTTTACTGACGAGGACGAAGCTTGAAGGAATGAAATCCCAACAAATTGAAGCTGAGAGTGAACAACTTGTTGGTTTTTGTGGGAAGTCTATCAGAATTAGAAAACATTAGGACTTTGGGAGAGATTTGGCTGGGTCCAGTGTGCATCTTGAAGTGCTTATCCCTCAGACAAACTGGCTAATATTCAGTTAACTAAATAAAAAAAACAGCAATGTGTCCGGGTTGAGTTGTGGATATCGGCTGTAAATTGAGCTCCGCTCCAACTCCAACTGAATATTCCAAAAATTCCTCTCCCTGAAAGCTGCTGGTGCTCTTGCCTTTTCAGACCAACAGAGACTCATAACTCTGAATGCTTTCTCAACACTGACAGTGAAGTCAATTCCCCCTGCAGAACTAGATCAAGGCATGAAATCAGAAATTTAACTGAATGCTCCTTTAATGTTCTTTTGACTAGGTATATAAAGTTATTTTTCAGGGACTGCAGATCACGGTAGCGTGGCCGAGTGGTCTAAGGCGCTGGATTTAGGCTCCAGTCATTTCGATGGC